CTGCCAAGACTCAAACCCTCTTGTAGGATTTACCAGAAACCAAACCCGCGGCTGGTGATGTCTTTACGAGTTGTCAATCTCAGGTCAATTGAAGATTTCTACGGTCTGATTGTTATTTTTTTGTTTTGCTTTATTTTTATATATATATATATAAATATATATATATGCATCCAGCCTTTTGGAAACTCTGTGAAGTTTATCTTTCTGATCTCCCTCGGGCCTCTCGGTGTGTTTCTTCTGATGATGGCTTTATCGAGACTGGTCACGATGGATTTTCCCTGCAGCTGCTAAGTAAAAGACTCCTTGGCAGAGTTTGGCAAACTCTCCTGTCTCTGACAGACTGGGGATATGGTGGAGCCTCCTCCTCTTGGCATCCCAGACGTGTTCCTGATCAGCAGCTTTAGGATTACTTTTTGGATCTATTTTTTATTTCCAGAAGACTGGATTCGGAGAAATCCTTCTGACTTGACTCCAAAAATTGAGGCCCAGGAAGGGTGTCTCTCCATGGATTTGATGGTTTTGTACACTTTCTCTATTTCTCAGGATACTTTTTTTGCTGATTGACTCTAAATAATATGAAAAAAAAAAAAAGGAAAAAAAAAAAAGAGTGTGTGTGTCAAAGGATGCCTGCCTGAGGGCTACTGAAAGACTTGGACAGACAACCCGAGTGGACTCAGAACCTACCTCAACCGGAATGAATGTCTTCTGGGAAGCAGAGATACCTGCGTCTTCCTTCGTGTTCAGCAAACAAGTAGTGTAGCACTTGGTCAGTACAAGCTTGGTCCTACCTCAGCAGTCACGCTCTGTACCCGCCGCCTTGGTGGTGTTCTTGTCGTTGTTCCCATGTAAAGCACTTCCAAACCTTTGAAAGCAATGTTCTACCTCAAGTGTGATAGAAACTCGAGTGTGTGTATGTGTGTGTGTGTGTGTGTGTGTCCTCTCCTGTCCCCCAATTCTGCCTCTCCCACCCAGCCCCACACGAAGCAAGATGCTTCACTAGTGTTATGAGCTTTACTTTTAGGGCATGTAGCGGGGCTCTGGTGTGATTTGTGTGGTGGAGATTTGTATCATGGTTTTCTTACTTTAAAGATTGTTGGGGCCATCACAGATACGTGGCTTGATGCCCCCTGGTTCACCAGCACCATTGCTTTGCAGGGCTGATTTGGGTGCTGGTGGTAGCTGCCTCGATCCATCCTGGGTGTATTTGGGAGGGAGGAGGGCGTGCAGGGTGCTCAGATGCCAGCACTGAGGCCAGGGCACACTCCTGCCCCATCAGCACTCTGCCCTCCAAGGCTGATTCCTAGCAGGATGATTTATGGCATGTGCCAGCACAAGCAGCATAAGACACGCTTGGGAGGTGCAAACCTGCATGTCACTGTCTTATCCCTTAAAAGCCCATCCTACCATCAGGAGCATCTGTAAGGAAACTGATACAGCACTTCCAAAACCCTTTGAGATGCTACTGAGCTGCTCCCAGCTCCTCCAGCGCATTTCCAGCTAGCAGGAGATCATCCAGAGGATGAACAGAGCTGAAAATGGCTCATTTCCCCGGGAGGGATGAGGCCAGGAGGGATTCCGGATGCTGAGGGCTGCCGGCAGCTGCCCCTTTCCCATGCCCAGGGTGGGCAGAGGAGCTCCCAGCACCAAAGAGAGGGTTTGTGTGTGACCCCAAACCACCTCCAGGGACTCCATGGTTTTAGGGTTGTCCTGGCATGGTGCAGCCTTGTGAGTCTGGTGTCATCCATGGGGTGTGATGGGGGCATGCACAGGGGACAGGGACCTCGGGCAGCCCTTTCCCCACTGCGTGCGTTGGTTAAAACCGGGTGAATGTGAAGGTTTGAACTCTTCGTATAGGTGGTGGCGAATCAAATGTCACTTTCTTTGCAAGGACAAGTGAAAGGAATCAGGAAAGAAAATAAGTTTAAAGACAAGTAATAATTGTATTTTTTAAATGGTACCTGTGGGAGAGTCCCTTGTGTCAGAAACATCCCCCATCTCCTTCAAATCTGTCAATGGGATGCTACTGATAACTGTGTAAATAATACAATATACAGGACCATAAGGCAAACATCTTCCCCGGTGCTGTGTCCTGGTGCTGGGCTGGGTTAGCTGTGAGCAGGACTCTGTCCTTCCAGATCGAATCACCCAGCTTGGCCCAAGCAGATGTTAATGGCATTGACCTTGAGAGCAAGGAACACTTGAGGCTTGGTGTTCGTAGCCCTCTGCCATTAAAATTCCTCCTCCTGTAGACATCATGCAGGTCAGAAGAAATTTGAAGGGTTAAATTTATGCATTAAACTCCCAAATAGCAGCTCCCCACCCCACCAAAGAGGTGAAATGGGACATAAGACCAATTCCTGCTCACCCCTACTGTGGGGAGACACTCTTTTTTGCATGATGCTGGACCTGGAGATGCGGTGGGAAGGGACCATAGGGGGACAGCACTGGTTGCACCATGCGAGACCGATAGCACAGCCCATCCCGTGGTGGGAACTGGAGGATGATGGGACTTGAGTTATAACCTCATATCAAAGAAAACCCAATCTCCTCCTGCCATCCCACTCCAGCCCAGCTTTTCTTTATGTTGTTTTATTTTGTGTGTATATCGCCGACGTTCACGTTGAATAAGTCCTGGTGCCAAAGTGAACACAGAATTTAGACTAGCTTTCAGCTCAGACTTCCTGGAGCTGTGAACATGCTATTAATTTAATATCATATTATTGTGATATTGTAATAGTAACAAGTATTTGTCACTACTTCCTTTTATTAAAGGGAAATGCTGTGCCATTTGACTAGCTGAAAGACAATAGTATGTCAAGAATAGAGCTTTTTCTTTTTGGTTTAATTATGCAGAAATGTGATGGCTTAAACCAGTGCAGAATATGTGTTGGTTTGAGACGGTGGAAGATGGATGTAAATCTTTAAAGACTATTTTTTAGATGTTTAGCTTTTCCTCTTTTTTGGGGTTTCTTTTCCGCTCTTGTCAATCCACTGGGACCTAATGTGGATGATTGTGGCAGGTCAGCCCCCGAAGCAATGAGGCTCAAGTCTGGAGATCCAGCAGGAGGATGTGGTCTTCCATGGGTTTTCCAAGCGTCCCAAGTCCACAAAACTGGGCAAAACCCCCTCAAAAGGGCACATTGTTGCTTTGTGCTGTGGAGTACCTGGAGCTGCCATTCAGCTGGAGAAGCAACACATAACAGCGCCTCTTGCCATTGATCAATGCCTGAGCCAGGCCGGAGGCAAAGCTGTGCCAACCAAAACCTTGGGAAAACACCGCCTGGAGCATGTCTGGCCTTTAACCTGTAAAATAAGAAGGAAAAAAGAACAAAAATAGCTTCTGTTTGGTTTCAGCATGGGGCACAGCTTCAAGTTTGTCCTTGGTTCAGCCAAACTGCTACCCTGTGTTTGAGGGAAACCACAGGGTTGTTATTCTGTGCTTGAGACACAGTTGTACTTGGGTAGATGTGTTGTACTTGGGTAGATACGTTGTACCTGGGTACACTTGTACTTGAGTGGACGTGTTGTATTTGGGTAAACACATCGTACTTGGGTAGACACTAAGTTCTTGGTGTTCTTGGATAGATGTAGGACTGCAGATCCCCATGTGCTGCCAGTGGTTTGGATGTGGTTTCACAGGTGTTAAAAACATTTTTCCCAGGTCTTCCATGAGCACGTACCCATTTTCATGGAATCAGAGGCTTCTTCAAAGGAATCACCTTTGGGCTTTGGCCAGGCTGTTGGTTGACAGGAGCATTGCTGCTCTGGGAGCGTGTCCCATGCCGCTGACAGCATCCCAGGAGGGATGAGCCCTACTGAGCCCTGAGGCAAAGCTCTGCTGCGCCCATGCAGCAAAGGGCATCATTTTACATACCAGGACAGAGGGCTGAACCAGCCAGGCTGTCACCTCACACATTTAAGCAACAACTTGCCAGATTCTTTATTTCTTTTTCTTTCCCCCCCCTTTTTTAGTGGGAGGAATTGAGGTTTTTATCTGGAGATAAAACCACTGGACAACAGGCAGGTGTTGGGTCTGGTGCAAGCCACTGGCAGCTGCCTGTGTTTGGGGTAGGAATCTCATCCTCTACTATTTTTCCAAGCAACTCCACTAAATCAACTCCCTGCCTTTTCTGGGCAGATCCAAACAAACCCTCTCACTTTCCTGGCTTACAGCAGAAAATTCCAGCTGAAATTACAGCAAGGAACAAAGCATCCAAAAAGCTGATTTCTTTATTATTCTATTTTATTTTTGGTAACCCATAATGGGCATAACCTATTCTTGGAGCTCTCAAGTTTACCAGAGATGGCTGCTACCTCAGGGATAGTATCCACATTGTCTTTAGTTGAACAGGGAATAGTTTGATGCTGTGACAGGGTATTTTCATGCCGTTGGATTCAGGTGTTTATTTGTCTACTGTTATCTTTCTTCTTCCTTGTTTCGTAAAGATGCTGATCTATTGAAGTGCTGGACCAGTTTGGGAATTTTTAAAGCTTCCACCCAAATTTATACCAAGGGACTTTACATTTTGAATTGGCAATGTAAGAGGAGAGACGCTATGGAGCATTGTTGCTTCTGGATGGTGAAGGGAAGGTTTTTGCTGCCCATGGGGCTGTTCCTCCAGGATAATCATCACACAGCATCTAAGGGGGGATCAGTGCAGTGCCTGAGCCCTTTCTGAGCTGACTGGCAGCACTTAAGTCTGGGAAGGTCACTTAAAACAAAGGAAATTAAAAGCTTATGAAAACAAATGGCAGCGATGTGGAGGGGACTATTTAGTTACTGCATCTGTGCAAACAGTGTTTGGAAACCTATCCCTCCCTGTGCTGCACCAGTGGAGGTGGTTTAAAGATCCCATCTAGCAACGTGATGCCTGCTCATTTACTTCCCTCACCTGCTAAATTAAAAGGGAAAGGAAAAGGAAGGTGTTAGTTTAAACCTATAATTTAAGCCTACAGGG